GTCCACACTCACGCACCGGAACAAAACCGGAGCTCCGGAGAGTGTCCGTTAGGCCAGTCAAATTAGACAAAAAAAAAGGCTTTTGCTCTTAATTAAGTGATGCGAACTTTTTAATTCCTTTTTAGGCGTGTTGGGGGTGTTTAGAAAAGCTTATTTCTGAGTTGTCGTATCATTTGACCCAGTGCTTTTTGAGGGGCAGGAGGGAGAACCTAAATTTTTTCGGTTTTTTGCATTTATCTCGTTTCGATTAATAGATAGCACTTTTTCGCTCGAGAAAAAGTTGTAGGGCTTGAAAAAACGAAGAAAATGAGCGGTGACTCGTTCCGATTCGTCAAAAATTGAGCCCAGGGGAGCCTCCGGAAGTCGCGCGTGTCGAGCCGAGCGTTCGGAACTCGGCGCGTTTTTCGCTTCTGTCTCTTTTCTGATAAATGCAATCGAAAAATGGCTACTATAAAACTTGTAGAGGATAAAAATACCTACCATTAGCCGCACATTACATCGAAATTCATTGAAAATTGCATACAGTAGAGAGCCCGAAAGTCATGTGATCGGCACGAAATAGTCATTTTAATTTAAGAAAGTGTTCAGTTACATTAATTATTGCGCACTTAAATGTTTAATTGTAAATAAATATATTCATAATGTAGTAATAACATTGCATTTATCAGAAAAGAGACAGAAGCGAAAAACGCGCCGAGTTCCGAACGCTCGGCTCGACACGCGCGACTTCCGGAGGCTCCCCTGGGCTCAATTTTTAACGAATCGGAACGAGTCACCGCTAATTTTCTTTGTTTTTTCAAGCCCTACAACTTTCTCAGGAGCGAAAAAGTGCTATCTATTAATCGAAACGAGATAAATGCAAAAAACCGCAAAAATTTAGGTTCTCCCTCCCCCCCTCAAAAAGCACTGGGTCAAATGATACGACAACTCAGAAATAAGCTTTTCTAAACATCCCCAACACGCCTAAAAAGGAATAAAAAAGTTCGCATCACTTGAGACCTCAATGTCTAATTTGACTGGCCTACGTACTGTCCGTGGATATTGGATATCGTGCTAGATAGGGGGCCGTGAGGGGGTCTTGTGGCGGCCGCATGTGCCCTACCAAACACCACACTAATTAACCGCGCGCAGGCAAAAACGCGCTTTCTCGCTCAGTTTTCCATTTTATAAAGTGGAAATAAAAATTCTTGATCCGATACTGAAGTAGTCTGATAGCCAATTCTTGATCGAAATTATAATTCGGTGAAATATTATATTTCGATGATGAAAAATCTATTAGCCTATAATGTATAATTATTTATAATAATAGAGTTTCATTATTTTATGAAATTTGTCAAACAGAATAAATTCTTGATAACAATTAAATCAAAATTGTTGCTGCATATTGCCTGCAATGGAAGAGGTAATATAAGATTCGAAAACATCTGAAGATTATATTTTTATTAAAGAGTCAAAGTATACATAAATATTTAATTAAAAATACTAATAAGCTATAACTCTATCCTCTCTAGTTATTTCAAGAAGGACGTTCGAAACTGGAGGCGCTAAATGGGCGGTCGCGCTCTAGTGATAGCTGGTGATAACTGTCAAGCGGCGGAGTCGAGCCAATCGGAGTCGAGCGACGGTCCGCGGGAGCCCATTTCCGCGTACGGGCAATATACGGGCCTCCCGTACGTACGTACTACGATATACCGCTTGATACCGCTCGCGCGCGAGACCGACTCTCCGCGGATTGTTTACAAGCGCGCGCGCTCCGAGGATTCTCGCGTATGTGCGTGGTATATACGGCGGCGTGGGGTGCGAGTAATCGCGCGCAGCAGCGTCCGCGTCCGCAGCAGCAACACAGCCGCGGCATTCCGCAATCACGCCCGTGGATTCCCCGCGAGGGATGTGCGCGTTGCGACGCGTACCCTCCAGTAACCCCCGTCGTCGCGACGCGATAGCGGGGCCCGCCGCCACCGTCACCGCCCGCGCCCGCGCCGCCGCGACGTAATATACCGTGTGTACGCACCGTGACCCACTTGTTGCGTCTAGGTTATGTTATGGCGTTATAAACAAAAATATGCTGCGCAAAATAGACGCGTCCGTGAGAGCCGTGAGTCCGTCGTGAGAGCCCGGCCACGAGCGAGAGCTAGCCCGGGGCATGGAGGCGGGCCCGGGGCTGAGCCTGTTCCAGGGCTCGGAGAGCATACAGCTGAACACGGTGGCGCAGAGACTCGAGGAGGACGAGGAGCAGGAGGACAAGAGGCGACTCAACGAGGAGGTAACGCCGCACGTTTTTCCCCGCGTGGAGATGAGCCTGTCGGCCTGGAAAGATATACTCGCGCGGAAATCCTTGCCTGCGGATATCTCGCACGAGGATGTCTGTATCGTTGCGTTGCATAGCGCGGAGAAGGTGGAAATCGATGAGCAAGGCCCACTAGTAGTAGTATTTTGGCGCGGAGAAATTTTTCGAGATATACTTACCGCTATCCTCTGTGCTAGGAGAACAATCTGAACATTGTATGGGACTCCCTGTATAGAGGATTCTTCCTCCGTTGAACAGTTTTATTATTGATGGAAGAGAGCGGATGAAAGTTTGCAATGATACCGCATGATTTTATCACCAGAAAAATTGATATATCATGATATATTAACGTATATGATACACTGACATTATGATATATTGATAGATTAAGATACATTGACATATGGCACATATTGTCCTACATGATAGGAGAAATTATGTATAAAATTGCATGCAATCTTAAGCTGTGATCGGACTATGGATTGGGATTGAGATCGGATTGAAATTTAATCAATCAGAATAAAGAAAACTAACTTTAAGTCTAGTGAACTTTGCTCTAATTGGTCAAATTTCAATCCAATCTCAATCCCAATCCGTCTGATCAAGGCTTTAGAAGATTTTTACTCTTTGCAATAAAAGGTAAAGGAGCATAAACAAAAAGGAATTTAATGTATTTGTTATTCTTTTAGATTCGGGACCGCCTGAACAAGGAGTTTGACGATTTGGAAAATGACGACGACGTCAGCTCCATCAACAGCAGTCATTATCAGAATGACAACACCAGAGACACGATTGACCATACCGATACGACGGTCAACTCTGGCCTGGACTCGGTTACGCCTGCCAAAGGTCAGGTGCATCTGCAAAAGGAATTTGGTGTTTACGATCGCGTGGATAATCTGAACAGTTACGATCGCGATGTGATAACGAATCATAGATCCGACTCCGAGACCGGCGGTGGGACCACGCAGTCCGACCTCGATTTGTACAGGCAAACGGGGACGCCGTACGGTAACAACAGATTCAACGACAGCAACAACACCGTGTTGAATACGCCGTACGAATTAGCGAAACCGCCAACCGGATATCCCCGCAAGATGGTGCACCCGCAGGCGGCCGAGGAGTGTACGTTCGGTGAGAGTTATCCTCACAACTACGAGACCCCATCCAATCATTACAATACTCACGTACCCAGGAAATACTCCAATAACGGTATTAACGACGCGTATGAACATAATGTACAAAGTAAGCAGATTCATGAGTTTGGCGGAGGCGACAACGCTACCTCGGATCACATGAATCATTGCTATAAGACTAGTCCGAATGGCAGGCCAATAGACGACGACACGGCATACAAAACGGCGGAGTATGATAGCAAGGAGCAATTGGAAATAATGTATATGGTCAGAATGAGGGAGATCAACCGCTTGACGGAAGAGCTGCAGCAGTTGCAGCTGGAAAAGGAGGACGAGAAGAGTCAGATGAGCAGGCAATTGATGCTGTTACAGGCAGAAGTCGATAGAACTAACATATCGAGGAATCAAGCGCAAGAGGCATTGGGTAAGGAAAAGATCGTCAAGTCATTTAAAACTTTCAAGAAAATACTGAAATTAATTAGCATTATTGACGATATTATCAAACAGTCTTCGTCAAAGTAATATTAATTTAACATTTTGTACGCTTAGCAATATAATATCACGTTGATATTATGATTCACATTGATATTATTATGAATCACATTGATATTATGAATGTGGATTCCCGAAATAAATTATCGTTCCTTTATACTTTTCTACTCATATCCTTCAACTCTCTAATCATCCGCTTATAAAACTGAGGCATATATGGGATGAGATTCGGGATCGAACCCAGAATCCACTGATTACAAGCTGACTGCTTTCACACAGAACCATATGTCATCCCAACGGGGTGATGTTTATTTTGTCAATTTATTTTGAGTCTTTAATTTTTTTAGTCGATGCCAAGGCCGAGATAGTTGATCTGCAAAATCAAATGAAATCTCTGGAAGAGAGGAATGCGGTGTTGGAAAAGACAAATCACAAAGTAAAATACATATTTATATATTCTATTCTTATTGATATTAAATCCACCAATGTTAAAAAAAATTGTTTTTATAGATAACGGAAGAACTAAATATCGCAAGGGGCTCTGTCATGGATTTGCAACAAAAGATTGCTGTACTGGAAAGAGTACAGGTATTGCAAACGAATGACAAGATACACGAGAAGTTTTTGAAGCAGGCGCAGGAAAAGCACGCGGTAGAGATGAAAAATATGCAGAGGCAGATAGACGTTCTTACGGAAAAATTGAACGATAAGGTATTATCAAATTCTTTGCTTGTAAATTATAGATACACATTTCACATACGTATCCTCCCTATAATCATATTTGCCATAGCTGCTCAATAAGGATATTGGCAACAATAATGTTTGGGCAAGTCTCTGTTGATTATTTTTGTAATTACATAATTGCAAAAAAAAAAATTATTTTTGATCTTTTTTTATAACTTACATTTCGACACAGTTTTTTATATGCACAGATTTGGTAAATTTTTAGAGCCGTTTAGACGTTTAATTTTTTTTTAATTATAATAAACTTTCATTTTTCTTTTTTATTGTTTTGTACACTTTTGCAAGTATAATTCATAGATTTAATTTTGTTTTATTTAATTTATATTATTTAATTCTTAATAGGAAGCATCATGTGTCGCGCTTCAACATAAATTGGATGATGCACGAAGAGAACATGAAGCTCTTATGGTAGAGAAGGGTGACACCATGAATCGATTGGCGCAAGCGTTGCAAGACAGTCAAACTCAATGTGGCGATCTCATGGCCACCAGTAACGTTCAGCAGGTGATGCAGTTGCAAGCGCAAGTGAAAATGTTGACTCAAGAAAAGAAAGAACTGCATAAAACCTTACAAGAGTTGCAGGTAATTTACAAAATTCTACGCCAATCTTTTTGGAATATAGATTACGTTAATTATGAGAAATTGATTTTTTCGATGAAATTTTATATTACATTATTTATTTGTAGAATAAACTGGAGCAAGTTAAAAGTGACGTAGCGCAATACGATTCGTTATTGGCTACTACTCTGGAGGATGAATCCGACTCGATTAGACAGATGAAATTAGGTGAACTTTATAATAAGTCAAAAACGATACCTGTTGATGACGTTACAAATAAGTTGAGAAATGAATTACATAGGTAAATGTCATTTAAATATATTTCTCGGTTAAATCTTCATTTCCTAATTAAATATGATGTTATCTTGTCGTTAATTTTTCAATGCACTACTATTTTTGTTTAGATGTTTGGCTGGTCAAGCTGTAAAGAGAAAAGAAATAACCCGTTTGGAGAATACTCTATCACAAAAAGAAAAGGACTTAAACAAAGCTTTGACATTAGCTGACACATGCCGCCAGGAAGCGGCACGGTATGCCAAACGAATTAACGAATTGGAGCAAGAATTGAAATCTGTATTAACAGACGAGGCCATGAAAGCAAATGCTAAAATACAGAAACTCTCGGATCACTTGAATGACGTGAGGAAGCAGTGTGAGTTGTTACGCGATGAGAAGATTAATTTGGAACAGAAATTAGAGGAGGCTGTAGCTGTTAATCAGGAGGAACTTAGAAAGATGCATCAGGAGACTATGGAGCAACAAGAAAAGGAAGCTATCGATGAGTATAATAAAGAGTACCTGGAGATACATGCTAAAGCCGTGGAGAGAGTGAAGCAAGAAGCACAGATGGAAATAGTACAACTATCGTAAGTATTATTTTTGTAATAGCTTTCAATCATTATTTATATAATTTGATAAAAATGTTATTGATAAGTATTGTTGATAATGTACATGTGTACAAATGGAATTTCTATTTCTAGTGTACAACTAGAGCAAACGCAAAAAGAGTTAAACCGTGTAAAAGAATTGTACATAGATGTATGCGGAACGAAAGAACAATTAATAAACGAGCATAAAAATGAAATTCAAACGCTGAAAAATAAATACGCTGCAATGGAATTGCATCAGAAAGACGTAGAGAAGTTGGAAAGCGAATTACAAACACAGGTTAAACTGTGTGATAGGTTGACTAAGGAATGCGAGGATTTCAAAAGTAAAATAATCGAATTGGAAAAAGATCTGGTGCACGAAAGAAGAAAAAAGGAAGATCATGTAAAAAAAATACATTTAGAAATAGAAAGAGGTAGGTATAAAGTGGGAGGCGAAATATCTTGTATGGAAAGCTTCAATAAATGTTGCAAAGAAAGTTTGTTTTAAATTAATCAATATTTTATTTCAAGCGAAAGAAGAAGCGTTACACGAACTAAGAAATGCGCACCCGAATCAAGAAATAAGTTTTCTTCTGCCGGATCATTGTTCTGAACATTTAGAAAAAATTAATCAGGTATGAAATAAATCTTTACAAGCTTTTCAAAACTTTGAAATTGTACGAAAAGTTGTTATATTTGAGATTCAATTATATTATATTGAAATATCTAATCTTTATGCTTCTGAATAATATTAATCCGTTTTATTATAGTTGGAGGAAGATTGCAAACGCTTGGAAGAGAAACTTCAAATCGCTGTGCAAGAACAGAAAAAATTATCTGATTATCAAACCGAGTTGAATGATGCTAAATTGAAAATAGCACAAATGGAGATCACGCAGGAAACGTGGAAGAAGAAATACGAGAAAATTGCCAGTGAGAGAAAGGATCTTCTCGCAAAAGTTTCTAAATTAGATTTGGAAATATTAAATTTGAAACGTACCGCGAAGCTGGAAGACTCGGATGACGTAAAGTTAAAAATTGCTCGGTTTCAAGCGGAGAACGAGACATTGAAAAATCAATGCGATAGTCTGCTCAGTGAGAGAAACACTTGTAAAAAGAAGATCTCTGAACTAGAAACAGAACTTTTTGACATGAGAAAGAAAGTTGGTAGCTTCGAGGGAAAATTACGGAAAAGCGGTGAAAATACATTAAATTCGAAGAGTGAGTTAGAGAAGGAACTTTCGCGTTACAAAGATATAGTCGCACAATTATCCAGGCTAAATAACTCGAAAGAGGGAGGACGTGCGAACGAATCAGCGGCGCTGGAACAGAGGATACAACAGCTCGAGCAGGATCTACGAAGCAAAGACGAAGAACTGGGCAGACTGTTAAAAGATTTCGAGAGGATAAAAGACGAGAGAGATCAGCTGGTGATGAAATTGCGAAATCAAGCCAAGCAATTCGAGCAATATGTCAAGAGCCAGAATAAAATGTCTATGGAATTGAATCTGTCTCCTCGTAGTACGAGCGATAGTACGGACTTTCAGAAAATGAGAGAGATCATGGCGAAAGAAGTGCGGGAAGAGATGGAGCAGGGAGTAGCGAAGGAGCTCAGAGGGATCGGAGAGCAGAATAGAAAGGAGCTGGAAGAGTTGGAGGGAAAGTATAAAACTACTATATTAGAATTGCAAAAACAGTGCAGCGAGAAGGATCGGCAGATGGAAACTCTGCAGAATAGGATACTGGCTGAGAAGATGGAGGTCACTCAAATCATAGGAAGTAAGCTAAAGATGTACAACCAAGAGCTGCAAGAGCGAAGGCTGCACATCGAGAAACTGAAGGAGGATTTGAAGATGAAGGAGAATCAAGTTGAGGAGGACAGAAACTACATGACCGAGATAATGACCAAATGGATCGCTGAACTAAAAGAGAGTCAAGCTAAGGAGAAAGAGAAAGACGAGGAGATACAGAAGCTGAAATCTACCGAGAAAAAATTGAGCAGTGAGCTCAAGAGGTTGCTGGACAAACAGAAGCATGTGAGGAGCAAATATCAAAAAGCGAAACAGACCGCGGACAATTACAAGGTGTGTATACGAGAATCAGCATTTATTGATTATTTTTCTATATAGGCGTATGACGTGTTCGAATTTTAGAGATATGCGGAGGAGAATCGGGAGTTTCTGTCGCGCGAATGTAAACGTATTGAGGAAGGATACAAAAAGGCCATCAAAGAAGCACAACAAAACTTTCGGACGCACGACGAGCAGTACGCCACGAAAGCCAAGAAACTTGAGCATCAGCATGCAGAAAAAATGAAACAAATGACTGAAGTACAAAGATAAATGTTGAAGTACGTACTAAGTATTCTTTAAATATATATGCAATAGCTTTCCTCCGGCTAAGATAAAACGGTAGTTACAGAGGCTAGATACCTTCTTCGTCTTTAATTTAAAGCACATTATTGTACAACGGTTTATTAGTGAAGTTTTATGTTAGGGACCAATATACGTGTAAGTAAATACAACAATATCGGTAAAATTATTACCGCGTTTGCTTGCCAATCTCGAGTCTCGACAAAGCGGCGGACGCTAATGTAGCTCTAAAGCTATAAACATCTGAAGTACAATCTAATTAACCATAATATAATGATATGCATAGTATTAGTCGGTAGGAAGAAATCGTTTTTATATTAACCAGTATCGTGTACAATAGTGTCTCTATTCTGGAAAATCATCGGGACCGAACTATCTCTTTATTCTTTCTTTCTCATTCTAAATCACGCGATCATGCAACAAATATGTAGAGAAAGAGCGGCACAAGAGAATTCTAGTTTACACAAGGACGACTGTTCCAGAATAGAGAGAGACCCGCGATAAAAGGGAACAGAATAGAGATGTTTTATTGTATCACTATTTTATAAATCGTCTGCGAGGCGAAACGGTTACACGTCGCGAACAAGGAAAAGCTTTAGTCACATGTTTCCGCTGAGCATTATTATGACATAATATGCAAGACTGGATCTCTCTGTCGGATCTTTCCCTCTTTTTTCCTCTTACGAAAGTAAGCGCGATAAAGAGAGAAAATCAAAACCATAGACTTTAAGAAAAACAATTTTCATCCTCCCTTTGTCTTTCTCTCTCTCTCTCTTTCTTTCTCTCCCGCGTAGCGAATTGAAAATTATCTCGTTGCTCTATCAACGTTTATTCTCGAGCATAATGGCTTCTGTTTATATTTCGTGCCTACGGCGCGCTAGAAGAAGCAGGAATGATATCGAAATTGTACAAAATATAACTTTTATAAACTTGTTTTGTATATGACATGTCTTGTAATTAGACGAAGTACGGATTGTATTAAATTTTGTAGCGCGTTAGATAGCGGACTGAGTAACAAAATCTACGTTATCTCCTTAATCTTAAATGATTTAAAAATTACATTTAAGTAACAATTAGATCTGAAGCGTAAGTTCGTATCTTTTTTCCCCCGAAAATTTGATGAGAAATTTATTCGCCATCGAACGAACAAATTCGATGGCGAAGCCAAAAATTCGATCAACTTTCCCCCTTCTCTCCTCGTTTCTCTCTTTCTTTCTCTCTATCTCTCGATTTACTATTTTTATATTACTATAATATTTTATTACGCAATTGTGTGCAATCTCAGTGAATGGCCAATTACGTATCGGCTTGTAAGAATCGCGGAGTATAATATAAATCAAATCCCTGTGTATATCTCTCGTAGTGAAGATCTTGGTAAGATTATTGACCGGCATCGATGCGTCGCATGTCGTAAAATAAGTAAACATTAGTTCAACAGTGTCGCCACTGGATGTAGAGAAGTATTATTAATATTAATTAGTTATTGTATTTTTGTATGTAGAGTGAATTAATTTATTTTTTGTAATAAAGAATTTATGTCGCTGTCGAAGTGTATTGTCGTTGCGTTACTTTATTCCGACAATTTCTCTTTTACGTGTGAAAAAAAATTCTTAACGTTAACGTTAAAACTGAAAAATTTATACATATAAAAGAGAAATTTTACAATATACAAAAATTATTTATTAATTATAAATAATTATATATAATAATAATTTACATGTATAATTAATTATAAATTATATTATAAATAAATTTATGTTTGTAAATTTTTTATATATATAAAAGAAGATTGTATATAATTAAAAGGATACATATGTAATCTTATTTTACGTTTCAACGTTACAAATCCATTTTACGAAGATATATATATGTATGTTCGTAAAACGACGCAACGCGACAAAGCAGATACTGCCGGAGCCGATCCGTTCCTTCCGCGACACCCCGTATACGCCGAGTTGCGCAGGACCGCAGGTCGCGGAGACAGAAGCCGGATGGAGTGGAGCCGGACGAAGCGGGACGGAGCGGAGCCGGAGCACGGAGCATTCTGCCGAGAGTCGAGAACACTGTTCAGTTCGAACGCGTTCCAGTGAGAACGCGGACCTCCACGTGATTGCATTATGTGCCTACGGACGTTGCTGCTGCTCTGTGCCGTGGTCGCGCTGTGCCGGTCGACGGTCCAGCTGACAACACCTCGAAGTCCTCCAAGTGAATCCACGGCGAGCCAGGCCGTCAATCATGACGCGCCGTCGTCACCGCGAAACACCCGATATAAATACGAGATCAAGACGCTCGACGTGCGCGTGAGTTGTCGCTAATTTTTTCTACCATTTGAAAAAAAAAATGATTAATTGTACCTAAATTATACCCCACTTGCGAGATAATTATTGTTATAATTTCTGTTAATTATAAATCACACTGATAATTAATTGTATACTAAAACACGCGGTGACTCACGCTGAACTTTCCATTCACGCCGTTTAATATTTTCAATGTAAACATACACCATTACAAAATATTTCGTAATATATCATTGATCGATTCATTATACATATATGCAATTAAATTAATGTATAGCATAGAGATTGACATTGTAGTGTAGTGCATACGGCCTGAATGTACAAAAACGGCGTGGAACGTGTTCACTAATAATTATTAGACATTGGATTTTTTATGTAGAAATTTATTATTGGAAAAGCAATTAATACCTAAGAAATTTAGATTATTCATAATATCCAACATATTTATCCTGCAACATATACCAATATGTTTTCTATTAGATTTTATATTTTTTAAATGTCATATTTCTATATGACAAGCTGAAAACACGCAAAAATATATAAATACGCACAAAATATGCAAACATGTACAAAATATACAAATATGCACAAATATGCGCAATATGCATAATTAAATAAATATGCATTTTTAGAATGCTTTTTCGATAAGACAGAATTATATTTTGATCTTACTTCCCAATCTGCTTTCTATTAAGAAAATATACAGTTTTACATAAAAATCCGATGTCTAGTTATTACTAATTTCTGTTAAATGCAAAGCTGATAATTATCAAAAGTAGCTGTTAACGTCAATGAACGTAAAATTCAATTGCTGTTGGTAATTTTACGATACGTTTTTTCAAGGTGGATCACTTCAGTTTCGCCGTACAGGACACTTTCAAATTGAGATATCTCATAAACGACACTTGGCGAAAAACGGAGAACCCCCCTATATTCTTCTACACCGGGAACGAAGGCAGTATCGAAGTTTTCGCAGAGAATACGGTAAGAGCGGTCAGCTGTTTATGGGCACGATTATTGATATGCGATATCGCGTTATCGGCTTAATTAACTGCACATTTGACTTAACTAACCCGCGGAAGTAGGATGTTTTTATCGTAATGCGATATCGCGTTAATAAACACATTTCTAAGATTATCGATTATGCTGTAATACATAAATGTGTTTTTTAATTGTAGAAAAAACTTTTGTTTAATATTACTTTAATATTTCTTTTTTTTTTTACAAAGAAATTGTAAATAAAATGTAGAATAGTTAGTATCGTTGATAATAAAATACTAAAATAAAGTTAATAATGTAAGGGGATTAAGCCACTCGTTAAATGAGACACTTTATAATAGTCAGGATTTATTATAAACTGATACAGAATCCGTAAAATCGAGAGCGACTGTCTCTTACGGCGATCGTTGCAGGACTGAGTTGTAGGACCTGTTCACCCGTTGCCGGACCGCGTTGCTTCTTTAACAAAAAAACTCTAACAAAAGATTAATCCTCTTGTCGCGAAGCAAGCACGAAAATATTCCGCGACTGAAGGTCGATTTGTTGCTATGCCGCATTATACTACTACATTATACATTATATTATAATATACTTGATAATGCGTAGAATAGAGATTGCAGAAGACTATATATAATATTTAACAAATAAGATTTGTTCCTGTTTTCTTCTTCGATACATCAATTGAAAATAAATTCATCATGATTTAATTCTAATTGATTAAATTATGATTATCAATCGAGATAAATGATCCATATCTTTCGTCTTATTAAATAAATCTCAAAATTAAAGTTAATATATTAAATTAGCGATGAGAAAGTTGCAAATTGTAAATCGACCGAATATTTAATAAATATCAGTTTTTAGCCTTGTGTGCGTTGCCCCATTTCGATTCTTTAAGAACGAGCTTGATATATTCCGGTAGGGCTTCCTATGGGAAATTGCACCGCAATTCGGCGCGTTGGTAGTATTCGCCGAACACCGTTACTATGGCGAATCGCTGCCCTATGGGAACCGGTCCTTCGCGGATCCGCAGCATCTTGGCTATCTGACGTCCCAGCAAGCTCTAGCCGATTACGTGGAGCTTATCGGGCATCTGAAGTCGCAACAAGGATATAAGCGCAGCCCAGTCATAGCTTTCGGTGGCTCGTACGGTGGTATGCTCAGCGCTTGGATGCGCATGAAGTATCCTCACGTTGTTCAGGGGTATGTTTTATCGCAGGACGATAACGGTATCTTTTGTATGACTAAGAGCACTGATAAAGGAAGATATATATATACCTATCTTAATATTAAATATATCTGAATATGTATTTATTCTATATTTAAAGATCGGTGCTGTGTCAGTGTAGATTATATTTCATAGCTCGATTTTGCTTACCTTCTTAGAATAAAATACTGCGATGTAATAAATCCATAGAAAAGAGTGCGAAAGATTTAAAATAAGAGAATTATCTTGATATTCTAGAGAACTACATATTTTGATATTCAAAACTCTATGTGTGTATAATAATGATAATATATGTATAACATGAGGCAAGATATATACAAAGTAATATCCTTTGTCAGCAATAGTGCGCATTTGTTTGAACGGCAACTTATCGGGTTAAACATATAATATTACATATATAATATTACACATATATTACATATATAATATTAAACAATATTATTGATGCATTGCAGCGCGATTGCGGCCTCTGCACCGGTTCTGCAGTTTACGGGCATTGTGGAATGCGAGGCGTTCTCTCGGATAGCAACCTCGGACTATCGCGCCGTGAATCCAACGTGCCCAAAGCTTATCCGGAGGGCGTGGAGTACGATTAGCAATGTGACTTCAAATGGTAACGAAACAGTACTCCAATAATCCGTCAATTCTCTTATTTTTGCCCTTCTTATGTTTTAGACGAAGGCAAAAAGTGGTTGTCAGACAATTGGAAACTGTGCGAGCCGCTGAAAACTGCGGAGCATGTCAAGACGCTGAAAGATTTCTTGCACGAGGTCTACATAAACCTGGCCATGGTCAATTATCCGTACGAGGCTGACTTCTTGGCGCCGCTACCGGGTAATCCAATTAACGTGAGCATTTTGAATTTTATAATCGTAAACTTTCCTTCACCTATAGATTCACCCATAGAATAATTATATATTTCAATCAAGATCAATTTGAAGATTCCAAAATTGATAATTTACATATTTATTATCGCTCAGGTTTTCTGTCAACATCTGACAAATGCATCGTTGACGGGAAAACCGCTGTTATCGGCACTTTACCGAGCTATCAGTGTATATACAAATTATACCGGTAAAACGAGCTGTATTTCCATGAATGCGGCACCGGGTTTGGACGCCGATCAAGGATGGGATTATCAGACGTGCACGGAAATGGTGTTGCCAATATGTACCGATGGCATCAACGATATGTTCGAGCCGGCGGAGTGGAACATTGGAGATTATAATAATACCTGTTTCAAAAGATATTCTGTATCATCACAACCTTATCTAGTTTGTGAGCAATACGGCTGCGGGAATTTTACCAGCGCAAGTAACATTGTTTTTAGGTATATGAAAAAAACGATATCTATAAGCAAATATCTGATCTTCTCGCATCTTTTGTACGTGAGCCTGTTTCCAATTTTATTTTCCATATTTTGTTCCTATTTTATATTTTTAATTTTATATCTTTTCTAGTAATATGAATCTTTTTACACTTCTACTTTGATTACTTTATTTTAATTTTGCTTCTACATTGCTTGTTCGCCAATAAACTCAATTCTTCCTTTTATTTTGCAGCAACGGATTGCTGGATCCATGGACGAGCGGAGGTGTGCTGCGCAATTTATCCGAGTCGGTAATTTCGATGTTGATGCCAGATGCCGCTCATCATCTCGACTTACGAGCGACTAACAGTAAAGATCCGTACAGCGTTCTGTTGACGCGTAAGTTCCATCGGCACTCAATTACCAAGTGGATCGAAGAATATTGATTAGGAAACTTTTAAAATTCGGTGCAATGAAAGAAGTTCGCGAGATTATCGAATTAACTCGCCTGTACCCCTATTCTGTAACTCTTAACGACAGTGTCGGTATCGTTATGTTTTGTCGTTGCACAAGTATACTATGGAAAAAAAGCTGCGCAACTATCGTTATGAGCATATAACGACGCATAACGAGTTACAGAATCGCACTACTTGCTGGTTGAAATTTATTCTCTTTGTATCAATTGTTTTTTTTTTTTAGTATTTGTCGCAATAAATTTTCTACAGAGAAATTTAAATAGGATGCTTATATACATTTATAGCGTTTTTCATTGGCTGAGCTGGTGCGCATTCAGTGCACATTAAAGCCGTCGTATACAAACCAACGTAAAGTGTATGTTTAATATAAACGGGTTAAATCATGAAATTCTCAATATTCTTTATTGCACTATTTGGTAAAATATGTACTGGGTATTTTATCAGTCGAAATATTTGCATTTTACTTTAAATATTAGAGATTAAATCAGTGTACAACGGCTTTAATGTGCACTGAGTGCGCACCAGTTCTGCCAATGAAAAACGCTAATAGAGAATTTATTGCGACAAATACTAAACAAAACAATTTATAAAAATTATATATATATCAATATATAAATACATATATATATATATATATATATAAGGATTAAAATTATATCAAATTAGAAGGACCAAAACTTCTGGTCGAAACGTTTTGACGCTTAATTTGACCAAAACGAATGATGGGGTATTGTCATGACGATTATAATGATTATAAGCCAGTTAGGTTGATTAAAAGGGCTTTACCGCTAATTAGATTCATCCTCTTTATTTTTCAAATTAAAAATACAAAAACAAAACACGTACGCCGCGACAACAATAAATATTCAACGCTGCCGTGAATCAGCTTATAATGCTAAACAAATCGTTGGTAAAAACTCAACCTAAAATATACGCGAAAGCATTTCGGTATCACAGTAAATAATAAATGCACATACCTCATCGGGCATTCTAAAAGATCTAAGAGAGAGTATAAAACGTTTTCAGACAACGCAAAAGTCTAAAACGTATTTGAAAAACATCCGATCTTTTCGGACATTTTCACAATATCTTTCAGACGTTTGCGTTGTCTAAAATCTTTTGTCACGAATCTAATATCACTATAGCACATAAAAATGGCTATTTTATCAAATAAAAATTCATAACGCTATCGTGATTATTCGACATATACTCGACATTAATTATAAATATATGCGCTGTATAACTCCTAGTTTATCTTTTTATCGCTTTATGTAAATTTCTTATGCCAAGTTTGTCCGAAGGAATCATGTAGAGAGTAAGTATAAGCGAATAAAGCTACCAAAGATATAAGAATTTCTAAATGTAGAATAAATTTCTCTTAAAAGAACGTCGGATCTTAAATCGAATCTACAAATATCATGTAAATATGATATCATGATTTTTTTTATATAGGTACATCGATTTTCTGGAATTCTCAAATCTTTCTCGTTTCACAGGTACAGCATTGTTTTTTCACTTTTCTAATGGACTCATTATTTTTCTATGTTACCAGAGTAATCTCTCTCGCATATTGTTAACACGAAAATGTATTTTTAATATCTTAACATAGTATTTGTAAATGTGTTGGGATAGTCTTACTACGTTATGTTATAAATAAAAAAAATTAATATTTTTGGATAAAATACTTCTTATGGCGTGCTCCAAAGTGACTTCGAAAAGAATGCGTTTAAGTAGTTTCGAATTCATCTACTGTGTCTATAATTAGCATTAAATTATATTCTCAACAGTATTCACGATATTGTTAGGCATCTTTCTCACATGTTACATATATGTATAAAAAAAGATCTCGAGATCATAAAAGTAATACAAGATATTGAAAAACGGGTGTATTATCTAATCACACCGATATGAGTACATAGTAAATATACTGCACGTTTGCTCACGCAAACGTGGATGCGTGTGTCTCCGAAAAAATGGATCTACAAAAATGTGAGAAAAGATAAACCTCTGCGATTCAACGACCGAAGATCTTCGTGTTTAGTGCGGTGTACGTCGATGTGCGGTAGTTGGTCTGGGAACGCCAGAACGGCTTCGCACTTTCTTCGGTTGCACAAACGTATTGTCTGTCCCAATGTTGTAAGACAGATATATGTTCGACATGTCTGGCGGCATTGTCTGCAGAGAAAAATTTTTATATGTTGTTATGTATTAATATATATATTCAGTGTCTGATGACTGAAATTTTGGTCGTAAAAGAGAGACAACCAGTTTCGGACGATACCAAAAACAGCTCGTTCTCTCCTTTCTGGGATTAATAAGACAAAATGATAGGTGGATAATCTTACGTCTTTATTATTCCCTATCGGCGATGCGGTCTGTGCTTTTCGCATATTATTCCCTGTATATGCCACGCATTTTAGCTGCCATTCGCCTATATCCTCATTCCAGTGAACATATCTCTTGATCATCGTCTGTAAAATAACACAGAGATGTATTTAAATAATATATTTTATATATTCGCAAAATGATTAACTTTGACCAGTGCTTTTCAGACTCCTTAGTTGTCACTCATCGTTTTGACCAGTTTGCAAACTTCAATTTTAAGCTTTTATCTCATTTTTGTTAATATTATTCAAAAGAATTTGTGCAAAAATATTTCCACATACTTGATACTGAACGGGAATATAATGGTTCACAATGAGATTCTGCAGCTGCAGCTCTCTGCCGATTCCCCGTACACCTTCCAGAAGTCCCTCCATCTCTCTTTGGTGTTCCTGCTGCAGATCGGACAGCTCCGCCTTGACGGACATCAACATCGTGTACACGCGCGCTAATTTTTTCGTTTTCCCAGCCGCTTCTTCCTGCAGAGATGAATACTTCTCTTCAATGTCAATGCGTTCTGCTTCTTTCGCCTTAATGGCCCTCTTCAATTGTTCCTCTCGGCTCTTCCGCTGCTCGAGTTCGACTGCTGTGGCAGCTAATAATTGTTCCTGAGCCTCCGCCTTCTCTAACAGATTTTCGCCGCCCACTAATATTTTATTCTGTAAATTCTGCATCTTCTCTCGCAGTGCTTCCTTCTCGGTCCTGGAATTAAGGCACTTGATTTTAATGAGAGTGTTGTACTTAAATCACTTACTATACTTATTCATTTTATATTACAAATTTAATTATCTTATTTAGTTTATTTTATACTTTGACAAAAACTTACTGAGTCTTCTTCAGTTCGATAACGTCTTTATCCACTGGACTCTTATCGTCCCTCTCGGCCTTGTCGACCTTCTCTGTCGATTCAGTGTCTCTGTTCTCCAATTCTTCCACCGACATTATTTGACTCCTTCTACGTCGAGCCTTCTTATCTCGTTTCGTTTCTCTTGATTCGTCCGAATCCTCCGATTCATCTTCCGATTCTGAGAGCTCCGCACCATTCTCCTCCAACTGTTTGCGCAACTGTTCGATCTCAACTTGGAACTGACGAAGCAAAGCATCCTTCGGATCTTCGTTGATCCTCGCGTGATTCTTGATATTTTTCGCCCGATTCGCGTAACGTAAAGTACTTATAGTCTCGTCGTAGTTTATATCTGCTGGGCTAATGTTTGCACACTGCAACAGCGATATTAGTGATATTAAATATTCGTTATAATTGCTTGTGAACATAAAAACAATTGCTATTGTAAAGCTGAAGTAAATAAATTCTATCTAAAAACAATTGCTAATTTTATTACTTATAAACCTAGTAATATGTTCGTAATTACTTAGAACAATTAAAGTAATGAAATGTTTATACTGTATCACTTTACCATCAACGTTTTCGAATTGCCACCCAACGAGTCCTGAAGCAATCTAGTCAGTTTGGAATTTCTGTAAGGCACGTGAGAGCTCTGTCCGTCAACCAGCGCGGATATTACGTTTCCCAATGTGGACAGTGACAAGTTGATCTTAGTGGCTTCGCGAAGCCGCTGACCCGTCGCCTTTGTCTTGCTTTGTCTTTCTGATCCCTAAATGTCGAGATAAATGAAATTAGCAGAGAAAAAAGTTCAGGAGTGTCGAAAAAAATTTTGTATTTGAGAAATCATATTTTGTGTCATATGAGTAATACACGTACGGCTAAATCCACCAAATGGAGCTTCCCCATTTTCACATGCTGCTCCCCATCTTCACCGATCTGACTAGATTCGACCGTAATGGTAAATATCGCGTGGGACCGGGAGCTGGACACATTCATGGCAGTAGCCCCGACAACACCTGCACGAGTCCAGAATTATTTTTAGCTACTTTACTTATACACGCATCATCAATTTTGTTATCTATCGTCGTTACTCACGATTTTTATTGCCGAGAGACATAATACGATCCAAATCGTCGGCGTTGTTCACCACGTACCCACTCAGATCTTTCACAAACACTCCGATGTCCGGCCTTTCCTTCACCTCCAATCGAGTATTCTGATCCTTACCGAGCAAATCTCGTACCTCCTCATTATAGATCTCTAGGTATGTTGCACGCACGAGGAATCTATTAACAACAATCATCAATATATTAATACCTTAAATAAATACAATCTGCTTAGAAAAGTATTTTTTTAACTGTGCTCAGTTTAATGATACAAGCTGTCCCAAGGTATCTCTGTTTTGCAGAATCGTAAAAATGATATATTTCGTAAAGCAGCGAAAGACTCCTTATCATATTTCGTTTCCAGGCGCGTATACGTTGCCTTACTTCTGATTCTCGTCAGCTTTGGCTATGTGACCGAAGATGTGAGCAAACGTATTTGGAATGATTCCTCTGGCCTGCGGAGAGGTTTTGGCGCCGGACATGGTGTAAGTTTTGCCGGTGCCAGTCTGGCCGTACGCGAAGATCGTCCCATTGTAGCCCTGCAGAACCTTGTCCACGATAGGCCTGGCGGTCTCGTTGTAGATGTCCACCTGGGTCGAGTCCGTGTCGAATACCGCGTCGAAGGAAAAGACCTTCGGTGGCTCTCCGTGAGCCGCATTCGTATTCTCTACGGTGATCTCGGCGTTCAGAGCGTCCACCTCTATTATGTTCTTGCAGTGGGTGTCAAACTCCTTGCTGCTCAACGGCCGAACTCGCACCACCACCCTGACATTTTCTATCTCTCCCAGCTCCGTCGTGCTGTCCTGGATATGTAAATAATGTCATGCGTTACTTAAATGTTACTTCATTCTAAAGATGTGTGATTTCTGATGAGATAATTAAATTTAATGCGGTAAATCCAAAAGTAAAATCCAAAAAGAGAAATAACAGAAAAATTAGATTCTATAATGTGGATTTAGATCAAATATTGCTGTACCAGTATCGGCTACTAATATATCAAATAAATTATTAATGTTATTATATATACATGTTGAATTCAATCAATAAAAAATAAGATGTTAGATGAGTCGCAGAGGTCTTGTCCCGGTTACTGTCGCGCTTGACGTTAGGGAACGTCATAAAACGTCAACATTTATTTCTTTATCTGACAGGATAGATTTATTGTAAAGAATGATACTAACTTCGGTCCCCGGCATCGCGGATCCGTTTTCACCCGCAGCAGTCACATAAACGCGGGGCGTTTCTCACAGCATAATTCGCAAACGTTCGCGGAAAAACGTCAGGGAACGTCGGGCTAGCAGACGACCTCGGTAAACAAATGGATCGATGCTGCCGTCCGCAGATGAAGAGGTCCTCTTTTCGTTGCAACGGCAAACAATTAGTCAATAAAGTCTGTCGATAATTAAGCTACTATTGGTAATATTGCAATCGGCAATTATATTAACTTACCTTTGTATAATAATTTATGCATCTATTTTACCTACCGCTTGAGAGACAATTTATAAAAGTCTGCCAAGAGGCAACATGCTTTTTGCAATAAACAGCAATTAATAAACTACGATGGCCGTTTTTAGGGTGATTTCGATTCCGATTAATTTAATTAACTTATTTTACTTTACCTTATTAAGTTAATACTTATATTTTGTTAACGCGGATAGAATTATTAATTGTTTATTGTTTGATGAACTTTTTTTCTATATTATTATGATTAATGATACAAAACATTTGTAAATAAGTATATCCTTCCACACTTATTCCTATGTAAACTAAAGAAAGTTCCAATTAAGAATTCTATGCTTCTAAAAGTTTGAAGTTTAAAGATTTCAATATAATCGATCTAAATTCGCGGAAATTAATAAAGTGTAAGAGGAGCATAATAAGCGAAGAGATGGTATTATCTGAAAATTCAAAGAATTCCAAGAATCGCTATTCCAAGAATTCCTAGAACCTCATAAGGTCGAGTATCGAACCAACAAGGTCTAAACTCTTGAAAATAGAATGTAATTAGGAGAATAAGAAAAAGAAAATCATAAAATATTTCAATATTGTAATAATCATCAAATATTTCAATTTTAAAAACTAGAACTTTGTTTTGATTTCTTTTTTATTTACATTATGAGCAGGACTCTAAAGATAAATAGTTTGATCTATTTCAGAATATTGGGTGTACAACTTAGTTTGGTCCGTTTTCAAAAGATGATTGTAGCAGTAAGTGGTAGTCGAAATAAATAGATCGTAGACGTCATACAATAAGCTTAGGCATTTGTAAACATAACGCCATCGAAATATTAATCGATTTGTGTCTGCATCATAAAGTTATTCTCGATTGAAAATGCAGCTTACGAGCCAAATTCTCGTCATTCGCGGGAGGTTTTAATTTTCTGCTTCAATATGAAGAAATCTGTGGCTGAGGCTCATCGAATGCTCTCAAATACGTATGGTAAGGCCGCAATTAGTGAAAGAACGTGCCGAGAGTGGTTTCAATGCTTCAAGAACGATGATTTTGACGTCGAAGACCGGCATGACGGTGGAAGAGAGAAGGTTTTCGAAGGTTTTCGCAGAATTGAAGGCATTACTTGATCAAGACTCGTGTCAAACGCAAGAAGAATTTACAGGATCATTGGGAGTGACTCAACAAGCCATTTCAACAACAATAGACACGATAAAGTGATTTTGCAGCATGACAATGCTCGACCCCATGTCGCAAAGCCCGTCAAAACATATTGGAAACGTTGAAATGGGAAGTCCTACCCCACCCGCTGTATGTATATTCACCAGACATTGCTCCCTCTGATTACCATTTATTTCGATCAATGGCGCACGGCCTGTCTGAGCAGCACTTCACATCATATTAGGATATCAAAAATTGGGTCGATTTGTGGAAGCCTCAAAGGATGAAGCGTTCTTCCGACGCGGTATCCATATACTGCCAGAAAGATGGGAAAAAGTAGTGGCTAACAATAGACAATACTTTGAATAAAACCGTACGTACCGATCTTTCACAATAAATGCGTTTTTCAAGCAAAAAAACGGACCGAATTAAGTTGTACACCTAATATATTTCAGGTTTTGAGTTCCAACGTCTTCATTAGAGTACCTACATATGATTTTATTTGCTGAAATATAATAAATCTGTTTACTTTTGTAATTTTCACCTCGTTTTTCAAGATACATAAGCCGACCTCCAGTCGTACTCGATAATTTCATCGATGACTAATTTTGATAATATTATCGTTTCATTTATTGATTAAGAAAAAGAAACAGATAACGCTCGAATAAGTGCTTTCTAAAATTAAACACTTCTTATTCAAGCTACATTATATGTATTTTCTCAGACGATTTGCACGAAACTCAACGTTGTCAGCAGGTCGTTTCTATTTTCTATTATAATAACGCACAAAATGTTTGTACAATAACGTAACAAAAAGTTGTTGCTACAGGATATATTCCATTTTTTACCGTATTTTCTTCGATAACAGATTGATCAGATAAAACGAAGAAAGATTTTATTTCCTTAACGTATTGTGACTTTAACAATTTTGTATTTACACTGAATCGCGCACAAAGTTGAAGCTTCAAAAATACAAATTAACAACAAAATTCAATTTCTCATTTATTTTCACGTGAATTTTATTTTCCGTTTGGAACAATCACAAATACATCTCACACGTCGAAGAGATTAAAAATTTCAACGAAGAATAGACATTCTTTGTTGACTTTCGCTAAGAAATCTTTTCGACAATGAATAGATACATCCTCGCTAAGAAATGCAGTAGCAGTAATTTTCTACAGAGTAAAGAATAGATATACTCTCCCTCTAATAGATATGTTCTCGCTGAGAATTGAGTTCGCCCTCTCTTTCTTTCTCCAGATTTATAAAAGATTCTATCATTAGCCGGTTAATCTCCGCTAGAAGTAGGACATTCTGCATAATATACCGCTCCGCATAATGTACAGCGTGACATCGCGCTATAACTGCCGCGTCGTTTGCACTTGTGTATCGCGCAATTTGAGCTGTGTAATTAAGCGGCCGGTATATAAGCAAGCGCCCGCAAGACGTTAAAACGAGCGTACAGAAATCGTGAGAAGACATCTAAACTTGTGTGCGTGAAACCCTTACTTTCTACCCATGAAAGTTCTGGGCGGAACGACGCTTGTCATTCGATTACCTTTCAGTAGAACTGTTTAAGAGTCAATCGGGACGAGATGGCGCCTATCTTACAAATTAACATGATTTTCATTCGACTTTCCCTTCGTTTCTTTTCTGGTCTCTCATCCTCTTCTTTTTCGTTTCATTACAGCCTTTTCTCTCCGCTTCCATTTTAAAAATATTCAGCAAAAGAAGATATCCTCGTTATTCTATCCTCATTCATTTTTATCTTTCCTATTTTTTCTATTTTCTCATTTACATACAGTAAAAATCAATTATATATCGCGTGTGTGTTTATATACACGCACAAATTATTTTAGTTATGATTTAAAGAAAGCGGTTTAATTTTCGAAAAAATTTAGTTCCTTTATAAATTCCCTTCTCTTTTTCCGTTCTGTTTTTTTTTTCGTACACTCTTCCTTTCTCTTGTTAATTTTTCTCCCGTTGCAACGCGAGAGATAAACAATATTTACATTCCAACGGTTAGTTATTTCACACGTTACTCGAAATAAGCTAATTGGGCACGAGATAAGGTCCAGCTTCGTATACATGCGTCATCAACCGACCCCTCCCTATTCTTTCTCTCTCCACGCATTTTCCCTTGGCTTTGTCCCGCTCGCCGGGACGGTTGCCCCCGTCCGTCGTTTGCCTCGTACCCTTCTCCACGCGCCGGCTTCGCGTCCCTCTCGCTGTCCCGGTGTGCCGTGCCGGCACAAAGTGGAGCGGAGCGGAGCAGCAGCTGACGGACGTAACAATGCGTTGTTCCTGGGGCACGGTAGCGCTATATGTCCCGCACAAGTACCAGAAGAAAACCGCCACGATAAAGCGGCGTCACCGACGCTAAAGGGTTGACACTTCCAGCCGTTACGCGGGAACGCGATGTGAGCCGTCCCCCCTCCTCCACCGGTACATCACGCACCAGGTAAGAATCAAACTCGATCGAGAGCTCTAAATAATCCCTCTGACCTGCTTAGCTGCGAACAGTTAAGGAGAGAAAATTTACGCGAAGATGCGACCACGCGTAGATCTTCCTCGGTGCGAAAGGATGAAGCGAGCGGACGATACGTAGCGCGAAACGTGTGAAATTGCGTGAAGTGAGAAAATCGAATCCACAGTTGTACGATCCGGGAAAAAAAAACGAGAGGATGCTGAATCTCTCAGAGAAAGAGAGAGAGAGAGAGAGAGAGAGAGAGAGAGAGAGAGAGAGAGAGAGAGAGAGAGAGAGAGAGAGAGAGAGAGAGAGAGGATGCTTGTCAATAATCTGACGTTGTTCGACGTCGCGCGGCTCCATTCCCGGGACGCTGGATATTATCCGCGAGAATAATAGCGCTTCAACGAGACTAAAAATTGTTCTCGGAGTTATAAAAATAGAAATGTGGTAAAAAAATAAATAGGTCAAACGTCAGACAAAGCAAGAGAGATATGGTGGGCGAAAAATTGATACGACAGGATGTTTATAACGATCTGAGATGCAAACGTCGCGATTGGAAAGTGCGCTTTATCGAGCAGACCAATTCTGTGGAATAATTGATATTTAAAGCAGTGTGTGCGAGTGTGTGGTCTATATACATTATAAATATAAAGTGGAAACTGTGGCAGGGACCTCGCGCTCGTTTAACGTGTGTTACCATATTTTCCGCGGGCGGAAAGCGCGCGTTATCTGCCGGCTTAGTGAAAATGCATCCGCGAGAGGACTTATAGTATTTCCATATAAATTACAAGCGGTACTCGCCGTATGGGTTTCTACCGGTTACTATTTCTGTTGCGCAATAAATACGCGGTATACATTGAAATATGCACGAACGTGGGGGCCCGGCATTTACATGGCGCCCATAACACACGTACGCTCACTCCGCCTTCGGAACTTAGAACTCCGCAGCATTATTGATCGATCCGGCCGCACGCGTGTACACTAACGCGCGTCACGCGCGAAGCAATCGCGTGAAAACACCCCCCCGGCCGAATCTTGTAACGACGCACGCACGTGGGGCACGATACAGCGTGAGTATTGCATGATGTTTCTAGTAGATATTCGCGGTGATCTACTATCGTCGATATACTAGACAAGATGTACATACAACGCCGGCAACGTGAAAACGACCGGCGCACGTGGAGCATTTGTGCTATCGCTTTTGACTATCGCGCGAGTTACGCTT